AGTTGGGAAGCTGGGCAGTGCAATCCAAGTCAAACACGTGCTTCTTCTCAAACATCCTAATGTGGATTCTGTACATTTCTCGGCACGCGGATTAAACTTCAATGCAATCTCAAAATTGTTCAATATGTTCGTGACCGAGTTTTGACAATGCATGTGTATGAGGATAGTTACTTTGTGAAACATATGAAGTCTTACCAGATGACAAAGGAACTGTTGCTGAAAAGAACGCGAGACAGTATATTTGGTCTCAGATATTTTATGCCGCACGAGCGTTAGTTTCCGGTCCGAAAGTGAAACTTGTGTGTTTAGGCGCGAATGGGAGGGGGGAACAGATTTATAAACTATTTTTGTCAGGGGATTGCTTCAAAGATTACACCTACCCCCTTAATGTTCCCGGCTTTTGCAATATTTGCGTGATAACAAACCAGAGCGTTTAATACCTTAACGCTAGCAGGCATCTTCTCAAACTGATGACTTGAGCTAGCGCTCTTCTGTAGCGCACATGCAACAGGGTCAAAGCCACTTGTCGTTTAATGAAAGAGATACGGCGATCTTAGGCTGTTACACAGATACAACGTCGACTGTATAGCATGGAAGAGAAGATACGTGTTCGTATACTGACCCCAGAATTAAAGTGGGTAATTTTCATGCTGTTTTGCGTAACTGATAAAGATCTGAACTTCTTTTGTTTTTTTCCGACGAGGCTTCAAACATCTTACCCTACCACTACAAACCAAAGGACGAAAATGATGGCAAAATGAAACATTTTATATTTATTGTTTCCACGTGTCCTGTGCACTAATACGATCGTAGAAAAAATGTATTCAGCGAGAAACTATTTCATCATCATTGATAGTCTGATTGAGGAGGTTAATTTGCATTGTATGTTCAGTTTTGTTCTAATGTTAAGATAAACAAATGTATTTTAAATTTCTTTGTCTGTCTTTTCCTGTTCCGAAAATGTCTTTCGTTTCTCATACAAATCACGGACCTGAAAGCGATCCACGTGATGTAGAGCACAATATCCTGTAGACGCAAACATCTTGTACCATGTCCGCATGCTTGTTTATAGACGGATGAAGAGTAATATTACTAGCTAAGACCTTCTAAGTGGAGGTCTTAAGAAGTAATATTACTCACCCAGCGCAAAAGTGGGTTATTCCCTTTACGTGCTTTGATACACGTTCAAATTGTGCTTTCAGCTTCATCGCTTATCTTTCACTGTTACAAACAAACCTTGTAAGTTTGACCCTAACGTTAACATAAAATGACCCGCGTGATATAGTCCACGTTGTTACGGCTCATTGGTAAATATTCTGTATTTGAACTACTTGCTTGGTTAATAACATCCGCCTCCTGGCTCGTCGTGTTAAAGAGTAAAATTACTTCCCAGAGGAAGCGAAGCGTTTGGACAAAGAAGAAGGCAGGAAGAGGGGAGGGAGGCTGGGCAGTTCATCGCAACCCAAGTCAAACACGTTGTTCTTCCTAAACATCCTAATTTGGATTCTGTATATTTCTCAGCACGAGCACAACACTTCAATGCAATCTCAAAATTTTTCATTATGTTTGAGACCGATTTTTGACAATGCACGTGTATGAAGATAGTTACTTTGCGAAAAAGTCTTACAAGATGACAAAGGAACCGTTAGTGAAAAGAAAAAAGACAAGATATTTGGGCTGGGAGATTTTATGCTGCACGAGCGTTAGTTTCTGGTCCGAAAGTGAAACTTGTGTGATTAGCCGCGAATGGGAAAGAGGGAACAGATCCATAAACTATTTTTGTCATGGGATTAGTTCAAAGATTTCTACCTCGATGATGAGTTCCTCCACCCCTACCCTCTTAATACTTCCGGCTTTTACAATATTTGTGTGATAATAATCTAGAGCGTTATATTCCATCCTAATTAATTACTTTACATTCATAAAAATCACTCTCATAACAAACGGCTCACTGGTTTATTGATTTCTGTCAATCATTGCTCTTACAGCGTTTCTCGTTGGAAGTCATGGGGCACTCCCTAACTTTGGCCAATGTACTTTCATGGAGTACTTTTGCGCTGCTCGAAAATGCGCCACATTTTTCTATAAAGGACTACAAAGGGACCCCAAAGGAGACTGTTTGTAAGTTAACTAAACTTTGAGGTGTTTTGTACGACAGGTCATCCAACTGTAACGCAATACTGCGGTATCTGCCAGGTCCCCTGTTCTGTTCATGGATTATAATAGACTCACACCTAAAAACTGCTTTAACTCGGTGACTATCTTGTTTTCACTCCAGTGCTAAGTTCAACCAAATGAAAGGCTGTGTGGTGAAGGTGATGAAATATTGTGCTGACTCACTGACAGACAGCACCATCAGAGGAACTGTAGACAAGAGTTTTGACAGCAAAGAATGTTCTGAAGGCCCCGCTCTAATACCGTCCTCGTCAGCGGCATCATTGCCTTGTTCCAGCTCTTTCGTCACTGAAGCAAACGCCTGTGGAAGGACCTTCCGGCAAATATACCTCGCGGACAAATCGAGTTCCTCTCTTTGCACGTGAGTTTGCGTAGACCATTTGTTTTTATACATTAAGTCGAATCATACACGCATTCTGATTGGTTGTTACTTATGATGTAAACGCATGGATGACGTCAACATTATCAACTATGCTTCTTTGTGATTTAAAACAAATTAAAGAG